AGATTATTTTTGCTCTTAGAAGAGAGAGAATAAATGTGGGGGAACATGGTAAAGTAGTGAGTAATAGAGAAAGTACGTTAAGAACTGCAGGAATGCCTTCAGAAATAAACTTTATTTACAGCTTTATAATCCATCCCCCTCCAAATTACCCACCCTGTCCCTTGTACACTGCAAGGGAATTGGGTGTAGCATGAGTGAGAAATATAATCTTGCTGATGGGCTTGCTGTTGTGTATTGGTTGTCTAGCCGTCCAGAGAATGACAGAAGTACCCTATGGAAAAAAAAAAGAAAACAAACCCAAACCTAAATGGAAGAAGACACAAGTATTATTTAGAGACATATCAAAGGTCCAACTTCCAATCATGTCCTTTCTGGTGAAATTTTTGTGGAAATGCTAAGGTTAAAAGGATATTTCAGTAAATTTGCTGATTCCAGGCAGAATCAGACCAGTGTTACAAAATTTCAAACAGTTTTTTAAAAATTTACTTTAAAATGGTTTTTAGATAGCCAGATGTGTTTGATTGTAGGGCTTCATTGTAGTGCATAATACATGGGGGTCAGATGAAAAATGTGACTCTCGTCACATTTGTCAATCCAAATGCGAGTCTGGATTCTGCCCTAGCACAGAAATTTAAGATTTTCTCTAAAAAAACCCACACCCCCCCCCCCCCCAAACCCAAACAGCCTGAATTAGTTGTCCTCTTAATTAAAAGAAAGCTGTTAATGTTAGGAAGTGAGATTATAATAAAGCTGTTTAATCAAATGGTGCAATTTAAGATGTTTAGTAGGTACAGAGATATCAAACAGGAAAGAAATAAGTTGGACCTGACGATGAAATAATTATTGTCATGATTACATTTGAGTAAGATCTGTCTGAATGCAGAGTGCTGTATGATGGAGAAACGATTTTCATGGCTTGAACTTGCATTATAAAATTCTGGGGGAGGCAATCTCTCACCAGTATCTCTGAGTGGCTGCGGTTGGGTACCAGGTTGCTATGGTAACGGATGAAGGCTTGCCCAGTTAAACATCCTCTAAGCACAATGGTATTTTCAGTCTGGGGTCTGACTATCATCTTAGGGGATAAGACCTATCATCTTTGCTTCTTTGTTGTTTGCATTAATTGCCTGCCTATCAATTCTCTGAGCAGAACTGCAGGTGAGGCTGCTTAACTGTATGTGTTCTGCCATATAGATGCGGCGCTCTGTTGCCCCTTGAAGAAAGCTGACCTGCAATAGAAACGGAACCCAATTACTGTCCTCTGCAAAGTGGTGGCAAAAGTGGCTGAGCCCTTATGTTGCAATTCAGATCTGATGCTGTTGAAATGCTTCTGGGGAGGAGGGGAAGGTACCACTGGGTGACAAAACACTGTGAATGAAATGGGAGTAATAACATCATCAGTCACATTTTTGGATGAGCTTTACGTTTGAATGTGGCTGTTTGCCTCACTTGTGAGGAGTGGGGGCAATATTAAAGATTTGCCTTTTGTTAGTGATGTGCAAGAGAGTGAGAGGTAAGCCAGAGGCTTACCTTGAAACTTGTGAAGGGTTAAACTTCTCAAGAGGAGATCTTGCATCATGTATGACAGATTTTTCCAGGCTTTGCTTCACATGCTTTGTGCATGCTCTGTTTGCAGCAATTGGAGTATTAAGGACGGAGAGGCCACTCTGACTCTTGCCCAGAAGAGTGGTTTGTAGGAGTTTCCTGCAGCAATTTTTAGTTTCTGAAAAGTAAACCTCAACCTCGTGCCCCAATATTCATGTGCTAGTATTCATTTCCATTTTAATATGTTTTTGTTGCTGTTCCCGGCCCCTTGTCTGTCCTTGTATCACTTTGGTTGGGAGCTGTCCCTCCACAGCACCCAGTCTTCTTGCTGTTACATTAACAGTCCCAGAGCCCATTTGGGGTCTTGGGTCCAGCTCCAGGTAACGGGTGGGGGGTGATGTGGCAGTACCATGATTCTGAATGTGTGAGATACCAAAAATAGCAATGTTCCCAACTGTCAATATTGCACTGTAGCGTGGTATCTGTGACAGCAGTCTTGCCTTATCCTGTACTGTGTGTGCTATGAGACCGAGTCTTGCCCTTCGCTGTGCCATCTGACCCTCCTGTGGCACCTGCCCCAAAATAAACAGTAGGGAGTAAATAGTCAGTAGGTGCAATAGGGCGGATGAAAGGTGCATAAGGAAGCAAGGAGGTGATATCTGAGCTGACCACCACAAATCGGCTGCAGTTCAGTTGAGTCTAGAGAGCTATCCTTTCACAAGCTTCTCTGTCTGTTCAGCTCTTGGGAATAAACTGCCTTTGTTCCCAGCTGTACTGAAATGCTTATTCATTAGATTTTAATAAAGAAAGTCAAAAGTCATATTCCTTAATAAGTGTTGGTAACTGAATATTATTAATTGATTAGTCAATACCTGTTAGCATGATAAGCCAACAGAAACCTGCAGTGACAACAGCCTTCAGATTATGTATTCATTCTCTAAATTATTAACTACTATTGATCGTCTCCCAACTGTCTTTTTTGAGGAGCAACTTTTTTTTTTTCTTTAACTGGTAAGCTATGTTTATTTAGGAGTTTTGTTGCCTATTTTTCCTTCAGGAGCCAATCTCTTTTTACAAGTTGTTTGAAGGAGTGGTCCGGGTTTGCATACTGTCACTGTTTTCTGTATTTTGTTCTTCCTTGGTATCTTCAGATATTTGTGAGTGTAGTCAAGGACGCTGATCCAGCCAGCTGGTTTTTTCAATATAATTTCCTCAATAAGGAACTATGGAAAGACCTTTATCAGTGTCATTACTGGTTTTCTCACTAACATGTGAAAATCCAAGATAAATAGGCCCATGAAGCTAGATATAAAAGCAGGACAGTACGATCTTTTAATGGAAATGTCTGCTGCTTTTCTTCAGAAAATGTCAAATTCAGATAGATAGGTCTACACCATTCTGTCTTTTTTTACAGATGGGGAAACAAAGAGCTTAAAGTGATTTAACCAGCACAGTGCAGCAGATTCACTGCAGTGCTAGGAACAGGACCTGGTTCTCCTACTCCCAAGCCACTAGTTGATGACCAGGATGTCCTGTAGCACCTTTAGTAGCTCTCATTAATATTCTTTCTCTATCCAGGGCTGCTATATTTTCTTCATTATCATTTCATTCAGTCCTGCCATGCTAGCTTTGGCCATCTGTTTTTCCTGCCAGTGCTTTTGCCATTTCTTCCATGGCTGCCTTGTGCTTAGAACAATCTGTTTCGATGATTACTCCTCAAAAACTACATGTACTAGAACACAGAGAGGAAATTGATTGCCTTCTGATGGTGACAAGGCAGAGAGCCAGAAAAGGTAGCTAAATTATGATGTATGAGTGTGGCTTCTAGCTTGGCCTGTGCTGAACTTTATTCAACACATCCTATTGGTTCAAGAGGATGACATAACCCTCTAGAATATAATTCTTGTCATCCCACTAGAAATTCACTCACATGTGGCCAAAGTAAGAACCTCAACTTATACAAATCTCAGTTTGTGTGCTGAAGTAAAAGGCAGAGATGGTCTTGAGAAGTTGAGAGGTTGCAGGCCGTATTCCCTCCATGTTGTGTACCCTTTTTAGTTCCTTTCATTCCCATAGCGGCTTGGCACACTTGCTGCAGGGTGTGACACTAATATTTTCCTCTGCAATTATGAGGATTTATGGCATCAGAACTAAAATGAGATGTTCTCTTCTGTATTCCCATTGTTCCATCCCTTGGTGTCTCTGCTTCAGGAATTACAAGATTGAAATAAAAGTTTGTGAAGAGAATGGATAAGGGTTCTGGTTTCAGCTGGGATAGAGTTAATTTTCTTCCTAGTAGCTGGTACTGTGCTGTGTTTTGCATTTAGTATGAGAATAATGTTGATAACACACTGATGTTTTAGTTGTTACTAAGCAGAGCGTATCCCAAGTCAAGGGTTTTTCAGCTTCTCATGCCCAGCCAGCAAGAAGGCTGGAGGGGCACAAGAAGGGAGCACAGCCAGGACAGCTGACCCAAACTTGCCAAAGGGATATTCCATACCGTATGACATCATGCCCAGTATATAAACTGGGGGGAGTTGGGCAAGGGGGGTGGTTTGCTGCTTGAGGACTGACTGGGCATTGGTCAGCAAGTGGTAAGCAATTGCATTGTGTATCACTTGTCTTTCTTGGGGTTTATTTCTCTCTTTTTTTTTTTTTGTTATCTCCCTTTTCATTATTATTTTTATATTTTATTTCAATTGTTAAACTGTTCTTATCTCAACCCATGAGTTTTACTTTTTTTCCCAATTCTCCTGCCCCTCCGACCAGGTAGGGGGAGGAGTGAGTGAGCGGCTGCGTGGTGCTTAGTTGCCTGCAGCAGTTAAACCATGACAGCGAGAAAAGAAACGATGTTTTTGGATAGACTTACTCATATTTTTTCTTCTTTTTGCCACACACAAGCGCACATTCTGTCTCTTCTGAGTCAGACCCTGTGTTCTTCAGAAGAAGAAACCTGTGACCTGACTGTGTGGGAACTTTGCTAATGTACTTCAAAATATTCCGAGCTGGAAAGCAGACGCGTACAACAAGCTTCAGGAAAACTTTTAAAATTTAGGACAGTTGTAATAAAAGTTCACCTCTTCCTTTTTTTGTTGGGGTTATAAAAGATGGCGTGCTGATGTTAGAAAACAAAAGGCTGTCCTCCCCAATTTCTCTGCCTGGCTGACTGGCTGTCATTAGAAGTGCTGGCTTATGCATCAGAAGAGCTGAGCATGTGGTGCAAAAGGTGCTCAGCACATGTAAAATTTGACCACAAACTGTTCTAATATGTGGCTTCAGTGTCATTTCATGATTATTGTTTTTCTTTTTAATTCCACCTTGCCCCCCTGGCAAAGTGTTTGAATGAAAAATTCAGGATTTGGACAGATAGCTATGAGTGTTTACATGTCAAGTCACAAAAGCCATGGGGTCCATATACAGAAGTATTCTTTAACTGTTTTTATCTTTTAGGTCTTTCAGCTGCCAAACTGCTGACTGAGTCAGGCTTGAATGTGGTGTTGCTGGAAGCCAATGACAGGGTTGGTGGAAGAACTTTCACTGTAAGGGTAATTATCTCCAAACCCATTTATACTACATATACATACATATAGTATATACTATAGTATATGCATATGTATAATTATACACAAGTATGGTGTATGTATATATATATGAATAGTATACATATACTATATGAATAGCGTACATAAATGTATTTATTTATCTTTCCTGCTAGAGGACCTACTTGAGGGAAAATTTCTAGAGCACTAACAGGTGGGAAATTTCCAGATATTGTACCAGGAAGAGTAGGGATAGACTGCCATAATGGTGGGGACAGAATATTTCCATGTGATCTGCAGGCTCTGGAGTCATCAGTCCTTTCCTTTTGGAAGGAGAACATGATTAGCTAAGTTTCAGAATAATTTCCTGGGGAGAGACGCTGGAGAAATATCTATGAAAAATAGCCATAAAGCCAACCATGCCGTGAAGATCCTTGAGCTAACAAGCCCCGTGAGGAGTGATGGAGACTAAAGTAATGGTGGAGGTGGCTAGGAAATAGAACCAGCATGTCTCCCATCACTCCTCTACCTTCTGCTCTACCTTGACCTGGGAGACCCCCTCCCACTCTGCTCATTAGAAAATCTTACCTGTGATACTTCCTAGTACAGTCTGTTTTGAACTAGTTGTTGGCGAGATGCCTGACTGAGCAAGAACCGCACAGATATCTCTGACTCTGTCCTCTCTTTGCCTGTCAGGCTCTTTTCTCTGGTGTTTGTTAAGGCTGTAATGTAACAACAGGCCAGCTAAGCTGGTTATGAACTCATTATCTGAATATCTTGGTATAACATATCTTGGTAATCACCATGCCAGAACCCTACCAAAGAACTGAAGTTTTCCATGGGGAGAGGGATCTTAGCCAAAATGCTCTCTGAGTGTTTCATTTAAAGAATTCCTCTGGATTGCTCTTTTAACTTGTGTGCTATTTACAAAAGGCTTATCTTTTTTTAATCCTTTTTTTTTTTTCCCTTTTGTGTGTTGTGTGTGATAAACTAGAATAAGCAAGTTAAATATGTGGACCTTGGAGGAGCTTACGTGGGGCCAACACAAAATCGTCTCCTGCGGTTATCTAAAGAGTTAGGAATAGAGACGTATAAAGTGAATGAAGTTGAGCACCTGATACACCATGTCAAGGTAAGATGCTCTTAAGCATGCTGCTCTAGACAGGCAAGTTGTAGTGATTGCCTTTATCATTGTTTTCCATCCATGCTACAGTGGAGTATACCTGTTTAACCATCTGAGTTTCTCGGAGAAAAATAAGTATGTTGGTAATGAAGAATTCATACAAATTACTGTATGCATGCACATCTACATGTGTACACTGTAGATGCATCCTGTTAACTGATGCCTTGATTCAGGTCTGACCTCTTAGTTAAAAGCTCTCAAAAGACTTCATTGTTTATGAACAGTACAACTGTTGACTCTTCTGTACAGGTCAGCTCTCATATATACTGCCTAAGGTGTCTGAAAGTCCCTTTCAGAAGTCCTAGAAGTACCTTCAATCAGGCTGAAAGTTTCTCAGGATGGGCTTCCTAAACCAGTGACAATTATTCTCCTCACTGAAACAAATGTGAGAGGTTAAGTCTGGTTTTGCTGATGGGGAAACTAACATGCAGAGTAGTAAAGGCATTGTAATAGTAGTTGCAAATGGCCCTGGGAATCAAATGTTCTTGTGGAGACAGATCTAAATGATCTGTTCACAATCTGAAACAGGACAGCTATGGCAAAGCTGTTAAACAGCCCACATATTCTCAGTATTAGTACTATGCTTTCTCCAAAAGAGCATCCTTTCTCCTTTCCTGACACAGAGCAGTGTTGCACTCCCACAGAAGGGAAACTTTCTATGTTAGTCCTGAGGAAATTAATGTTGAGTTTCATTATATGTGTATGAAAAGCCATTGTGCAATGACTAGCAAAACATTTGTCAGATAGTAGTTGATCTTTGATCAAAGGTTAAAGAAGACATGGACAGATTTAAGAACAGCAACAGAGAAAAGGTGTTCTGTCATGTTTCCAATATTTTTTCCACTCAGTTGTTATTAAAAAGAAGTGTGTTCTCAAAGTGATTTTCTATGGTGGTTGTCCACAATTACATCTGCTGTGGTAGAACTGGTGGCTACATCCACACTGTTCCGTTTCGTGTGCCTCTGGCATCATCCTCAAAGCTAAATTTTCTGCTTGTTTACACTGTTTAGCCTTCAGAGTCTCCTCAATAGCAATAGGAGGTCATACCATGAAGAGAAACCTTAATGGTAGAAGACAATTGACATGGCCAGTCAGGATGACCAGCTCTCAGGACAACCTTGCTGTCCTAGCACAGGGGCATTCCAAAATGCTGCCAGAAGTCACTGAAGCCAAAACTGAAGCAGACATGGGCCTGATTTATTGTCAGCAGCCAGTTAAGCATGGCTGCTTGTTTGGTAAGCCAGACCCCATTTTCTTTTAGGATGTCTAGGAACCAGCTTGTGGGGGGATATGACTATGCTGGTTGAAACAGCCTTTTTTTTTTTTCCAACAGGGTTTCAGAGTGAGGAAAACAGAGAATGGCACAAAAGTAGAAGTTTGGGCTCTTGACAGGGGCAGTCTGTCTTCCCCTTGACCACAAGTATTCTATTGCATGCGTTGCCAGAGGTTGCGCATAGCCTTTTACTGTTGTCTGTGGGTACCTTTTAGCCCAGGACGGTGAGTGCTGGTGTGAGTCAAGGTGCTCAGCTTTACTCTCCACCCAGCACTGATAGGACTTGCTGGCATTCAGTGACGTATCCCAGGCTGGCAGAGAGCAGCATGCCTTGGCTTTGTCTGCAAGTTGGTCATAGAAGGGGCCTTGAATTGGTCACTAAGGCATTAGGACACAAGTCCAGGGAATCTATACAGCAGCATGACTCGTATCCAGAAGTCCAGAGGTGGGGGAAGCCGCTCTGCCTCTGGAGGCATTCAAGCCATCCAAGCCTGCAGATACGGGGCGCTTGCTACTTTGGTTAATGCTTGCATCTGTGCAAACAGATCCTGGGGAAGCTGTGAGGAAGGCTGAGGGCCTGGGCTTGCTCCAGCACTCATGTGCCTGTGCTAAGACCTACTGAGAGATGCGCATAGATGACAGGTTATGTCCTTGTATATGCCAGAGGGATGAATCATCCATGGCAATATGATGCAGGCAAGTGGCTCGCTCTGAGCGCTGGCAGGCATGTATGAGATTGGCACTATGCCTTACGCAGAGCCATTGAAAAAGCTGCCCTGGAAAGGACCCTTGGAGGTTCCTACTCCACCCTGGCCTTGGAGCAGTGTCTGCCTCATAGTTAGGTCTGTTGCTTGGGGCCATTCCCAATCAAGTGTTGAAAGTCTCTGAGGGGAGAGAGATCCCACCTGCTGGCTGAGGAGCTCCCAAGGCATGCTAAGAGCCTGCAGGTTGGAGTCAGACAGTGTGTAGGCTCAGGCTCCCAACGTGGCTGCCTGTAGGAGAGCTCCTGAAGAGAGGAGGGAAAGAAGTGTGTGCCAGGACTCCCTGGTAGCCAAGCTGGAGGTAAAGAGAGGAGATATATATCGGTGACTCTGGAATATTTCAAGAGGAGATAATCCACAGATATATAGCACCTCCTTTGAATCTCCTAATTTAATTCATTTTAAATCTTTTATTTCCTTTTTGCTTCTGTATGTGTACAACTGTGGAAAAGCATTAACATAGTTGAAGAATTACTCACAGTTAAATGATTGGAACATGAGCACTATATAGTAGACATGCATTGTTGTGTGGCCAAATCAGTGTAATAATCTTCAGCCTTTTGCATTTCATGTATCTGTAATACATTCTTTACAGGTGTCTCACTTTCAGCCATGTGGCTTGCCCATGCTTTCCCTGCAAGGGCACAATGCTCTTGTGTGCTCCCTGAAATCTAAGCGGTACTCTAAAGTCATAGCGCTCAAAACAGATTCCAAAATATACACAGGTCTGTCGCCCTGTGTGAATTTGAATTCACATGCTGACCCAAGCTTTGTGACTGTGGTCAAATATAATTAAGTTCTGGACCACAAAATTCTGTGAACCCAGAGAGGCAATGAAACCTAAAGGTTTTAATTCTTCTCTCGCTACACAATCAGGCATCACAGTGCATCTTGTAAAATCAGCTGCTGTTTTTACGTATACCCAAAGGCAAAATCAAGCCTTTCATCGTTAATTAAATTCATTTTAGAGGCTTTTTAATACAAGTAATATATGCAGCTTCTTTGTACTACAAAATGAAAAGAATGCTTTTTGTTGATCTCTGGGTGGGTCTCTGCTAATTAGGCATTACAAACTTGATTGGGTTGTGTGGTTTTTTTCCCCTTTAATCTTTTTTAATGTCAGGTTCTATTGTGAGAATATTTTTGGTCTCACTTATATTGTGTGTGATAACTTCACAGAAATTCAAAATTATATTTCTTGCCCTACATTTTTTTCTTTCCCTCCACTTGTTAAGCAGCCTTTTTCATGGTCTTTGAAAGGAGATTAGTATGTTCTTTTCATTTGTGTAAATACCGGTACATCAGCCTTAGTGAGAAAATTAGTATAGCTCTGCAAGTCGTATTTGGTAGGCAAATTACTGCCTGAACACCATTGTTTTTCAATAGTGTACCTGAAGTTACCTTCATAAATCCAGATTTAAGAAGCAAAAGCAGAACTATCTGAGAAGTCATCATCTCCTAACAGTCCTCCCATTGGACTCGTAGGCAGATGTAAAACACTTCTTAAAGTAAGATAACTTTTCCTTAGCTGCCCAAGAGAGGATTCAGGGCCCTACCTTAGATAGGTAGATTTGCAGCTTTTGACTGGTGATGGTTATTTTCCTCACCCAAAAGTCAGCTTTTGTCTTAGAAAAACAAGCCAAAGTACATATAGTCCAGGATCTTTCCATATACCCTGGAAAGAAGTGTTGAAATATGAAAACATGTCAATTATCATGAGGGTTTAATCATTCTGCATTAATTCAAATTGCACTTCTCCTTTGTGCAGTCCCAATAGCCATGCAAACTTCCTGCATTTTAAATCACAAATTTATCAATGTTATCAAATGTAACACAGGTTCCTTTGCTAAGTAAGGTAACTGCGGAACTGGTTTACTCTGCTACCCTAAATCAGTGTAAAGAAACATTTCTCTGTATGACTTGTTTGCCAAATTAATCTTTTCAGAACTTTATTCCTTCATATACAGTAAGGATGATCTACTCTTTGTCCTGCTGTGGTGCCAGCTGAACATCCTCTGATCCTGTTTTTGCTGATGGAGAGCTTGCATAAAAACGTGGCAACACGGACTGGCAACGACACTGCTTACTGGCTACATTAGACCAACAAAGCTTGTTTCTCAAAATATAGTCATTAGTCTGTGGTAGACCACACCACCCCTGCCCCCTGCCATTGATGGTCCTTGTAATTTTTTTCCAGATGTTTTTTCCACTGGAACTTTCTATGGGATAATGCCGTAATCCTTCCTGGAATTTCCCCAGATTATAGCATCATTGCTAGAAAGTGGTAGTAACACTTATTCCTTTTAGTCTCTGTGTTGTCTCAGTGCAGACTGGGGATAGTGCTAACATCTGGCTTAGGTAGCTGGCTATTTTGACAGTGTGTTGCACCTGAAACATTCCTCATGTGGTTATAACTGAGATAAGTCCTGCTAGTTGTTTCCTTAGGGGTTTTTCAGGTTAAAATGCTGGGTGAAACATGAAGCATCCCCTGCCTAGTCACGTTCTTGACAGCTACTTGCCAATACCTCATTACCTCAGTTAAGTTCCCTGTAAGAGGATGGAATTTCCTCATACTCATTCATCTGCCAGCAGCACTGGCTAGAGGTGTCTGAATGCATGTCATGCCCTCTTCAAGTTTAGCACCACTTTCGTACAGGTATATACAATCGACATCTCTGGGGAGAATGCTAATGTGAACCTTGTTTGCCGCACATCACTGAAGGTGAATATTTAGTCTTATATGTGCAGTACTTTTAACTAGGACCACAAATCTGCACTAATGTTACTGGGTTACATACTGATCTACAATAGATCTGCAGAAAAAAATTTTACAGCCCTCTTGGGTGTCATTCATTTTCAGCACTATTGTGCTTATTAAAATGCAGTTTGCTGTGGTCTTGTTCATGAATAAAAAA